GACTAAGCTCTTCTCAGCAATACAATGATCTAAGACAATTCCAAAAGACTCATGCTGGAAAATGCTATCCACATCCAGAGAAAGAACTATGGAGTCTGAATGCAGATCGAAGCATACTATTTTCTTTCTTTCTTTCTTTTTTTTTTTGGCTTTTTCTTTCTCACGGTTTCTCTCTTTTGTTGATTCTTCTTTCACAACATGACTAATGTGGAAATGTTTAATATGATTGTACATGCATAACCTATATCAGACTGCATGCCATCTTGGGGAGGGGGAAATTTGGAACTCAAAATCTTATAAAAGTGAAGGCTGAAAACTAAAAAAAAAAACTTTAAAAAAAAAAGAGAAAAATGAAGTTTTTAATGTGCTTCCCCAGGTTATACCTAGTTATAATTCCCATCAGCTCTAAGAAAAAAGTCCTTTCTTTACACAGGCCCTTGTGACCCTGCTATAGGGACAACCGTTTAGAGTTCTAGGCTCCATCTTTGTGTATTGCAACCAGAGAGATGAGACAGTACATGTGGCTGCACTGATCAGGACTTGTCTTCAGAAGTCTCAGCACCTAGAATGTTCTGAAGAATCCCCAGGATCCAGAGGTAAGGCTTCAAGGGAAGTGGGGCCTGATGAACCAATGATAATGACAATGCCACAAAGTTTGCAAAGCACTTAACAAATTTCATTTGGTCCTTACAACAACCCTGGGAGGTGGGTGCTTTTATTATCCCCATTTTATAATCTAGGAAACTGAGGTAGAAAAAGGTTAAGTGACTTGTCCAATGTCACACAGCAAATTAATGTCTGAAGCAGGATTCAAACTCGGGTCTTCCCAACAGGCCCTGTGCTCTCTCTCCCCTGCATCACCAGCTACCTGGTCTAACATCCTCACTTGACATATCAGTTAACCAAAGCCCAGATAAGTGAGATAACTTGCCTAATAAAGTCAAGAATGGGGAAAATACTCCATTCCCACCAGCCTTGGTTGGTTCTAGTCCTAGCCCTAGCCCTTCCCCCAAGAGAAAAAGCCAAGTATATAGGCTCAGCCAAGGTGAGAAGAGTCCCAAGGCCCTAGCTCCCCATGTCCTGGTCTGACCCCTAGACCTCCAAAGCATTCTTCCCTATGTCGGAACCAGAGCTTCAGGCCAAAGCCCAAACACACTCCTGTTGGGGAAGGGGAGCTCCCTTCCCAAAGCTGCCTTTGCCACAAAGCAGGGATTCTGATCCTGCTTCGGCTCCCCTAGGAATCCTTCTTCCCTGCTCTGGCCTCTAGGCACTGTAATGTAGTGGAAAGAGGCACCAGAGCACCTGAGTCTGAGTTTCAGCACAGGAAGTGTGTGACCTTGTAAGGAGCCTTGACCCTGGAACCAGAAGGCCAGAGTTTGAATTCCAGCTCTGAACACTACCAGCTGTGCGACTGTAGAGGAGCCCCCTCACTTCTCTGTCACCAGCTTCTACCTTTCTTAAATGAGGAGTCTCTACTAGATGGTCTCCAGATTCTGAGACTCCAGGATTCTCTCCAAGTATGTGTCCTCCTGTGTCAAATGTAAATAATGCTGTTTGCACCAAAGTGCTGTGTAAATACTGTGATTACTCATCATCGCAATTCTTTGTGCATGTGATTTGTTATTAATAAACCAGCCTCCCAGTGTCCCTGTTCCTTTTTGCAGGGCGGCTGCCAGAGGCTGTGGCAGAGGCATATCACGCGGGCCTGTCAGCCTCGGAGCGTCGGCGGGTACAGCGGGCCTTCATGCAGGGCCGGCTGCGAGTGGTGGTAGCCACGGTGGCATTTGGGATGGGGCTGGACCGGCCAGATGTACGAGCTGTGCTGCACCATGGGCTCCCTGGAAGCATTGAGAGCTACGTGCAGGAGATTGGGCGGGCTGGGCGGGATGGGCTGCCTGCCCACTGCCACCTCTTCCTGCAGCCCCAGGTCAGTCCTCAGTGCCTGGCCCCCTCCAGGCTTTGTTTATGGCCTTCAGTACTTCCCCTCGGTTCCACATAGGCCTTGAGAGGCATGGTAGTGACAAGATCCCCTTTGAAGTCCCTGTACCTGAGCCCTGCTCCATGACCCACTTGCACTACTTTATGATTCACGATGTTGAGCATTCCTTGACTCCTCTTCAGTAAGAACATTTGGGAAGACGGTTGCCTGACCCACTCTCCTCCTCGCTACAGGGAGACGACCTTCGAGAACTGCGCAGGCACATCTATGCTGACACTGTAGACTACCTGACTCTCAAGAAACTGGTGCATAGGGTGTTTGCCCCATGCACCTGTTCAAAGCTTCTCCAAAAGCTGCAAGTGCTGGTGGGTTTGAGGATCCGTGTCCCATCTCTTTCCCAGCTGAGCCTTTGGGAACACGAGGGATCCTTGTGGGGTGGGGCCTAGGGGGTTAACACCGGTGCTTCTTCAGTCCCTTGGTTCTCCGTGTCTTATCGTCCTATGGGTAAGGATCTTCACTTGGGGAGCCCTCCTGACTTTGTTGGGGTGGGGAGGTGTCTTCCCGCAGAAGGCTGAGGTGAGCAGTGGGGAGATGCTGGAGGCCCTGGAGAAGAGCTCTACTCACCATAGGCAAGAGATGCAGGAAGTGCCCAACTCAGGAGGAGAGGGGATGCAGAGTGCTGGTCTGCAGGAGGAAAGTGAGGTTCCTGCCAGCGTAGACAGAGCCTGCCCAGGCCATGAGCGCGCCCTGTCTGTTCAGCAAATGGTAGAGGCTCTGGACATGCGTGAGGAGGGTAAGACCCTGAAATTCTGTCTCCTGGACAGACAAGCCCTGGTCCTGGTTTCCCTTGGTTATTATGAACAATCATCTCCTATTTCTGTGGTTCTTTCAACCCTATTAAAAGTAATACAAGTGTTACAGATGAGAATCTGGAAGCTTGGGAAAGTGAAGTGACTCACCCGTGGTTACCGTCAGAAACAGGACTCAAATGCCCCAGCGTACTGTCCTCCAGAACAGTGTTCTTCTCCCTATGTCACTCATTTCAGATGATCATAGAGTTTAGACCTGGAAAAGACTTTAAAGGCCATCCAGTCAAGTCAACAAGCATCGATTAAGCACTGACTATGAGTCAGGCCCTGTGCTAAGCACAGGGGATACAACCAAAGGCAAAAAAAAATAAATCTCCACTGTCAGGAAACTCGACAGACTAATGGGGGAGACCATGTACAAACAATGTGCAAACAAGATATATTCTGGATAAATTAGAGATAATCAACAGAAAGAAGGCAACTAGTATTAAGGGGAATCAGGAAAGACTTCTCATAGAAAGTGGGATTTAATCTGGGACGTGAAGGAAGCCAGGGAGGGAAAGACAGAGAATTCCAGGCATGGGGGACAGCCAGTGAAAGTGGACGTGGAGAACGTGAAGTGTCGTGTGTGAAGAATTGCAAGGAGGCCAGTGTCACTGGATCACCCCACTGTATGGGGGTGGTAAGGCATGAGAAGAGTGGAAAGGGAAGAGGAGGCCGGGTTAGGAAGATAGAAGATTTTATATGTGATCCCAGAAGTAACTGGATTCTGCCGAATAGGGAAGGTGACAAGGTCAGACCTGTGCCGCCTGACGGCAGAATGGAGATGAAGATGAGAGACTTGAGGCAGGGAGGCCAACCAGCAAGAGTCCAGATGTGAGGTGATGAGGGCTTGCATCTGGGTGGTGGTGGTGTCAGAGCAGGGAGAAGACATGTTATAAAGGTGGAACTGACAGCATCTGGCAACAGGTTGGATAGGGAAAGCGAGAGGGAGGAGTTGAGGAGGAACCCAGGTTGCAAGGCAGGTAACTGGGAGGATGCTGGCACCCTGGATAGTCCCACCAAGATAGGAACAGTAGGAAGAGGGAGGAATTTGGGAAGAAAGATAAAGGGGTTTTGGCCATGTGGCATTTAAGATGTGCACGAGGCATCCAGTTTGAGATGTCCAATGGCATTGAAGATGGAAGTTAAGGCTGGATATGTAGATCAGAGAGCATCGGCATAGAGACAACTGAATCTGAGGGGGCTGATGAGGTCACCAAGGAAAATAAGTATAAGAGGAGTCTTGTGGGCACCCGCAGTTAGTTGGCATGACCTGCGGGGAGATCTAATAGAGGAGACTGGAAATTTAACCCCTCATTTTGCACATGAGAATAGAAGAATTGAGGAAATTGGCCCAGAGAGGTAGGGGATTTGCCTCCAGTGACGCAAGTAGCATCCACATTGATCAACCTTTGTCTTATGCTGCTTTGGCCTCTTTCTTCCTTCCTCCCCATGAAACTGGCCGCCAGTCAGAGACAGAAGAACCAAAAACAGACCCTATCTCTGTCAATAGCCTATGGGAAACGGCAAGACCTGGGCTCAAGGTCTCTCCTTTCACAGCTGCTTCCCTTTTTGTACTTTGCCAGCCATTGAGACGCTGCTCTGCTATCTGGAGCTGCACCCTAGAAACTGGCTGAAGCTGCTGGCCCCAACCTTCGCCGCTTGCCATTTGAAATGCTACGGTGGGCCCCTGCAGCTCCAGGCCTTGGCCAAGAGGTAAGGAGATCATGTGACCAATATCCCACAAGAGCTGGATGGCTCTGAATTGCAGCTGCCTCTGGCTTGAGATTCAGCCTCACACTATTGACTTTGGGTGGGAGGATGCCATTGAATAAAGGTATAACTAAGATCTGTTTGGCATCACCGAGAGGACCAGGGCAGGTGCCTTTTTTTATAGGTGGTAGTGGTAAGTTCAGAAATGGTTATTTTAGGGGCAGCTAGGTGGCGAAGTGGATAGAGCACTGGCCCTGGAGTCAGGAGGACCTGAGTTCAAATCCAGCCTCAGACACATAACACTTACTAGCTGTGTGACCCTGGGCAAGTCACTTAACCCCACTGCCTAGCCAAAAAAAAAAAGAATGGTCATTTTAGGGGCCAAAGAGCCAAGGCAAGCCTCTTTCTCCCTCTTGCCCCACGGCAGGTGTCCCCCCGTGGCTGTGGGCCTCGCTCGACAGCAGGCAGCCAAGGCCAAAGGCAGGAGCTCCCTGGATTTCAATGTCATAGAGCTGGCTGACTCCATGGGCTGCGACGCAGCTCTTGTGCGGCGGACACTGAACCAGCTGCAATGGGAGGCGGCTCCTGGAAAGGGTAAGGGCTATATGTGAGCTCTTCCCCTATACGTACCCTGCCTCCCCCCCTATAGCTTGGCCTCTTCTCTGTTCACCCTTTCAGACCTCAGATGTGGATGAGTCTTCAAATGAAGCTCCCTTTTCCCTAGATAGTTACATTCCACATGGAAAAAGACTTGGTGACAGGGGCCTCTTGCGGGGAACGGGAACAGGAGGAATGGGCTGTGTCTGGTACAGGACCCTTGGGCAGTTAGGATTAAGAGTAGGCCATTCCCAGGTTACCTGAGCGAGCCATGTGCCTTCCCTTGATGTAGGAGCTCCTCGTCGTACAGGGGTCCTGGTGGAGTTCAGGGACCTGTCATTCCACATGCAGTCCCCAGGGGACCTGACAGCCATTGAGCAGGATGAAATCTGTGACTTTCTGCACCAGCGTATCCAAGCCCGAGAAAGGGGAGCTCTGGCCCAGTTACGGGCCACCTTCCAGGCCTTCCAAAGGTGAGAAATTAGGGGCCAGGGCCTGAAGGCAGTGTTGGCCCCCCGCCTCTTCTGAAAGAGACTGGAAGGAGTGTCAGAGTCCTACCTCTTCAATGCACTTTATGGGGGCTGGGCCTCAAGTAGGTGGGGTTAGAACCCCATACAGGCAGGTGGGGTGTCTGTGCCCATCACTTAGAAGCCCTGGGACTGTTTTATTTGGCATGTGTCCTGCCCTGCTTCTTAGGGTGGCATTCCCCAACTGTGGGCCCTGCATGGAGCATGCAGATGAAGAAAGGAGTGAACAACTGAAGATCCTGCTCACCCGTTACTTTGAGGAGGGGACACCAGCACTTTTTGAGGGTCCATTCAGGGAAGACACCGAGCAGGACCATGACTTTGGTCAGGCCAGAGTGAGTGTCACTAATCTCCAGAGTCTATGGCCACTCCCTTGGAAAAGAACCTAGGCTTGGCTGCACTGTGGGAGACAGAAAATGATGGGCCTTCTCAAGGAGGCCCCAGGGTAGTGGGAAAAACGTGACTTACCTACTTACAAAGTTTGAAATGTGTGTACTCCTGGAAGAAAGACGGTCAGAGGGTCTTTATGGAAGACAGGCATGAAACTCTGAATCTTAGAAGGTGCAGAAGCAGGAATAAGCATGATTTATGAGTGGGAGATGACATGAGACCAGTCTGACCAGAGAATGCCTACTGAGAATCAGTAAATTGGGGAGGGGGAAGGGGCAGTAAGTGGGCAGGTAGGTGGTGCAGTGGATAGAGAGCCAAGCCTGAAGTCAGAAAGACTCATCTCCCAGTTCAAATTTGGCCTCAGATACTTACTAGCTGTGAGAGCTTGGGCAAGTCACTTAACCCTATTTGCCTCAGTTCTTCATCTGTAAAATGGGCTGGAGAAGGAAATGACAAATCACTCCAGTCTCTCTCCCAAGAATACCCCAAATGGGATCACAAAGAATCAGACATGTCTGAAATGACTGAACGACAAGGGGGTCTTACGTCACAATTAAGCTGGAAATTGCTCTTTAAGATTCTATCCATTATTTGTTCAGGCCCACTTGCCTAGAGCCCTGAGTCTTCTGGCTGTCTGGTGGGAGGGGATGTGAAGCCCTGTCAGCCTGGCCTAACTCCTCCTCTCTATTTACCTTCCTGTGCATGTAGCTCCAGGACTGGGAGAGTTCCATCTGCTCTGACATTCGCCATTTGCTATCCATCCGGCAGGAGGAGAAGTTCTCAGGCAGAGCTGTTGCCAGGATCTTCCATGGCATTGGTGAGAGCTGGGCCTCCTGCCCTCATAATAATGCCTGTTTGCCTTCTTGTCATTCCCCATCACTAGGACCCAACTTAATGTCCAAGGGGCTGTTCTTAGCCCCAGCTCCTCTGAGAGGAGTTCTCACTTTCTCTGGGTCCACAGGGGACATCAGCCCGGATGGGACCATTTCCATTCCCAATGTGATAGGGTGGTAATAAGCTCCTTGGTCCTGGGTCTCATGCCACTGTGCCCCATCTCATGTCCACAGGAAGCCCCTGTTACCCAGCAGAGGTGTATGGGCAGGACCGGCGATTCTGGAGGAAATACCTACACGTGAGCTTCCCCAGCCTCCTCTGCCTAGCCACAAGAGAGATTCTTGCCTGGAAGCAAGCCTGAAAGGGCCTCATCCCATCATTCCCATCAGACAGTTGCTGCCATCCTCATCGAGGAAAAGTGTTGGCCCGTCTGCTAGGAAAGAGGCATGTGGTACTGGAATGGACACAAGCCCCAACTACCATTCACTGTCTAAGAGGAGAAAGGACAATCCTCGAAGCAAGAAATAAAAAGCCCATGGATTTGTTTTTATTGATACTGAAAACAGGTCCCAGGTCCCAGCCCCAGTCTGGGGTGTGAGAAGCAGGGGATGAGGGAGTGTTCCCTTCATTTCCTTTCCTTGTTCAACCCAGGCTACTGGGAGCCAAGTCCAGATAGAGCAGGGCTACCAGAGAGAGGGCAAGGAAGAGTGTGAAGCACAGCCCCAGGCCCAGCCCATCTGCCAGGGCTCCAGCCCCTGTGGTCAGCAGCAACTTCCCCAGCAGCTCCAATGTGGCCAGAAAGCTGTAGTGAGTGGACTGGGGAGAGCAGAGGACAGAGCCTAAAGGGACCCCAAGGCCCACAATGCACCACCATTTCCCCTAACTACCACCATTCCTAACATGCAGCTCCCCTTCCCACATCAGCAGGGCTCCCTTGGGCACTGCAAGGGTCCCAGAATATAAAGGCTTCCCAGGGTGAGTTGTTCTGCCCTTTGTGGGGAGTGGTAGCTGCCATTCACTTGAGGCCTTTGTCATCTTGGGCAAGGAGCAGCCTCATCTCCATTTAAAGGAGCCTGTACCTTAAAAGGCCAAGTCAGTCCAGGGGACCCAAGAATATCACCTCCCACACACACCCAGTACCTGGATGGAGCCATGTGCTCGCTGGCTGCAGTGTATCATAAGAGCAAAGGTGAGGGTGGTCACAGTTCCACTCAGAAAGTGCTGGGGGACAAGGCTCACCAAGGCAGCCCCTAAGGAGGATGAAGGGTCAGTGCCAACTGACAGTCCCCTTCCATCCTTCAGTGCCTCCCCAAAGTCTGCCCTGAGTGACCCCACCACCCATAGCCCAGTCCCTTTCTGCAGCATCTCTGCCTCTGTTCAGTCCCTCTGTTCTTCCTCACCTTTTAAGAGGCCCCCCAGACTGGAGCTAGGCAAGCAGGAGAGCAGAGCCATCTGGAAGGCCAGGGCCCCAATGCGCAGCTGCAGGAGGGGCTTCAGGAGAGGCAGGGGCTGCCTAGGCAGAGGTGGAGGCGGGGCTCAGTGAGGTCAGCCTTGACCCAACCTCCCCTTCATCCCTCACCTCTAGCCTGCTCTTCTCACCTGTGCTTGGCAAGAAGAACACCACCCAGGGAAGAACCAGCGATGGAGAAACCCATAGCCACCATCCCATTCCACAGCCCCACTTCTGCAGCTGACACACCCTGGTCCAGCAGAAAGAGAGGGAACAGGCTGATGGCACCCTGTTCACCTGGGCATGGGACAGAGGTAGGACATGATGGCACAGCTGAGCAAGGAATCTCAGGCCTCCGCCCTCCTCCAGGAACCTTTCCCTCACTGCTACAGGATCTCATAGCAGTTAGGATTGCAAAAGACCAGAAGTCAACTCCCTTATCTTACAAAGGAGGCCCAGGGAAGTGATTGTTCCAGGGGCCCACAGCTGCTTAGTGGCAGGGCCAGGATTCAAGCTCTGGGCCCCTGACACCAAATCCAGTGCTCTTCATCACATCAGGCTTCTCTCTGGATAAGGGGGATCTCAAAACTGGTAGTCCAGTCAGGCCTGGAAAAGCTTTTAAAGACCACGCAGTCATACCCCCATTTCAGAGGGAAACCAAGGTTCACAGATAGGAAGGAAACTGCCTGGTCACACAGCAAATGAGGGGCTGAACCAGGCTTTTCCCCAACCAAACTCTGCCCCCTTTATGAATGGGGAAACTGAGGCCCACAGGAGTCGTCCAGGCCAGGGCTGAGAGCCTGACACTCACCTAACTTGTAGAGAAGGACAAAGCCAGCGGTCCACGGGGTCCCCGGCACAGCCAGGAGGGCTCGCCAGCCACGAGGGGGGTGGCCCTGACTCTCCTGGGCCCGCAGGGGTGGGAGCTGCAGGGCAGGGGCCCCCCAGGCCAGGGCGGCGGCCAGCCCATAGACCGTGGCCAGCCCCAGAAACAGGGACCCCCACGTGAGGTCGGGGCTGACGGCCAGGAGCCCCCCGCCGGCCAGGGCGGCCCCCAGCTTGTAGGCCACCACCTGCACGGTGTTGCCCGGGCCCAGCTCGGCAGGGGCCAGCAGCCGCACGGCCAGCCCGTCCAACGCCACGTCCTGCGCCGCGGCCCCTGCGTTGAGCAGCAGCAGCAGCGCCGCGGCCCCGGCCGGCAGCCCCGACGAGCCGGGCCCCGAGCCGGGAGGCAGCGCCGCCAGTAGCGAGCACAGCAGCCCCAGCGCCGCGGTGCTCAGGGCCAGCCAGGCCTGCGGGGAGCCGCGCCGGTCCACCAGCGGGGCCCAGGCCACTTTGAGCAGCCAGGGCGCGTGCAGGGCGCGGGTCAGCCCCACGCGGGTCAGCGACAGCCCATGCGAGCGCAGCAGCAGCAGGGGCAGCAGCCCCGCCTGCAGCCCGTGGGGCAGGCCCTGCACCAGGTACAGCAAGCCCAGCAGCGCCAGCCTGCCGCCCATCGGAGGTCACCGCGGGTCAGGGGTCACGGGCACGGTCAGGGTCTCGGTCTGCCCCCAGGGGAGCCTGCTGGGGGGTGGACAGGG